GGATATGTGGTTTGAACAAGAAGTATACCTTTCTGCTTCAATCCACTGAGATTTGGAGATGGTTACTGTGGCATAATCTATATTATCCAGACTGATACACCACATCATCCAGAAAAAGCCTTCGGGGGACGGTTGTAATCACAGAGGAACTGGTACCAGTAATCTGAAGACATGTGGGTAAAAGTTCTCTCTGATTGGACTCATGCGTTTAATCCTTTTAACATTCAACAAATTCTGTTCAAAAAACTTTTTCGTTGAGAAGTTGCCTATGGTGTCCCTAGCTACAAAAATCTATCAGTAAGCAAAGCAATCGTCCTGTTTCTCAGTGACTTCAGAGCCTATCAAACCCACTGCTGCTCCTGCCTTTACATTCCATACACGACTGGCTCCACCGTGTGGTGTTCAGAATAAATAACATTTATTGTAGGACTCTAAAAGCAAGGTCACGTATCCAATAATACCCTGTATGCCTGGAGGGGAGTCTGTACATGATAAAAGAAATCACATCCATCTTGCTAGGGCATTAAATCAAAAGCAGGAGGGAAAATGCTTCTGTCACGTGAGCCAGGAAACACAACAGCAGTAAGGCTCAGTCATTTCCTTGTTTACTCATCGGATATTTACTGAACTCTACTATGCACCATATATCACCCCAGGCCCTGGGGATGGAGCAGTGAACACGACAAAGTTCCTGCCTTAGTTGGAAGGACAGACAATGGAACAAATCAACAAAGTAATACTTACTGCTATGTCGGGTGTGATAAGTGCTATAAACCAAAAGAAATTTGAGTTAGGGCAGAGAGGGTGATGGGAGGGGTCCTTTTAAATCAGGTTGACTAAATAAAGGCAGACAGTTCACATTTAGTTATCCCAAAGTTCCTCTAGATAAATGATCCAAAATATCAAATACATGTAAATATGAACATTCTGTTGCCAACACAAAAGGTTAAAATGCTTCAAGATGCCCAAATCTTGGTTTCTAAACATTATCCTGTCTTGGTCCGTTCAGGCTGCTGTGACAAAAATGCCATAGACTTTGTGGTTTAAACAACAAACATTTACTTCTCACAGTTCTGGATGGAGGCTGCAGAGTCTAAGATCACAGTGTCGGCAGACTAGTGTCTGCTGAGAGCTGCTTTCTGGTTTGAAGGTGGCCATCCTCTCACTGTATCCTCACGGACAGGAGGAGGGAGCTCTCCGGGGTCTCTTTTACGAGGGCACAGATCCCCCTCACGAGGCCCCTGCCCTCATGACTTAATCCCTCTCAAAGGCCTCACCTCCTAATAACATCCAGTTGAGGATTTCAGCCTATGAATTTGGGAGGGACATCAACAGTCAGTCTGTAACAGCTGCCCTGAAAGGAAACCATGACTCCTGGGAGAAATCACTGATTTTTCAAGTCTGAGGCAGGACATAGACAAGAAGATCCTGGGGCATATTGTTGTGACAGAAAATGTAGACGCATTCAGAGACTAACAACATGGTCACAACGGCCTTTGACCCCAAACAGCAGATTATAGGGGCTCCCATTGGCAAACGGGGCAATTTAAGCATCAAGAAGATAACCATGACTGATATTGCACTGGGCGATTAAAATTCATGAGGATGTGGTTTTATTTTTTTAATAGGGAAGGGGGCTCTGTTTCATAGAATGCCAAAAGAAGACAGAGAATTAGAGAATCGTCTTGCAGATTATAATGGAATACTGATTCAAGCAAGCATCATCTTGTATATTAATTTCCTGTTGCTGATTAACAAAGTACTGGAAACTCCACAGCTTAAAACAACACAGATTTATCATTTTACAGCTCCGGAGGTCAGAAGTCTAAAATGGGTCAGCATGGCTGTGTTCCTCCTGCAGGCTCCAGGGGAATTTATTTTTTCCTTTTCTAGTTTCTAAATGCTGTCTGCCTTTCTTGGCACTCAGGGTCCCACATCACTACAACCTCTGCCTCTGTTATAGGACCTCCTTCTCTCTGACTCTGACCCTTTGACCTCCCTTTTACAAGGACCCTTGGAATAACAATTGGCCCAACCCAGATAATCCAGGGCATTCTTCCCATCACAAGATCCTTAATCACATCTACATTTTGCCATGTAAAGTAATATATTCACAAGTTCCAGGGCTAAGGGTGTAGACATCTCTGGGAGCCATGATCCAGCTACTGCAACTTTATATATATATACATAAATAAATAAAATGTGTGTTATATGTTATGATGTATACACAAATCAAAAGATATTTTTGAATCTAATCAAGGCTTTAGCCCTAACTTCCAGCTTACAGAAATGACACCATAACAAGATAATCCAAGCATTCATATGCCTACTACCCTAGACTCCTCAAAATTGAAATGTCATAAAAAGGATGGCGGATATCCTAGAAATTTTAAAAAGATTTAAGAGACATCATAACCAAATACATTGTGTGAACTTTGGTTGAATCTCAGTTCAAAAAGGTATTTTGAAGACAATTAGTGGAATTTTACATTTGACTTAAATATTAGATGATATGAAATTATTGCTAATGTTCTTATGGATGTTTATATAGCATAAATGTCCCTTTTTCTGAAAACACATGCAGAAAAATTTCAGAATAAAGTATACAATGTCTGCAACTTACTTTCAAATGACTTAGATAAAAACTGTGTGTCTGTGTCTGTGTGTGTATGTGTGGAGAAAGAGAAGGAAAAAGAAAGATATGAAGCAATATGGCAAAATATTGAAGTTCGATGGATCTAAGGGAAGGGTATATAGTTGTGTATCATAGCTGTGATGGTTAGTTTTATGAGTCAACTCAGCTATGTCACAGTATTAAGATATTTTGCCCAACACTATTCTAGATGTTTCTGTGAAGGTATTTTTAGATGAGATTAACATTTAAATCAGAATACTTTAAGTAGATTAGCCTCCATACTGTGGGTAGGCCTCACCTAAACAGTTGAGGGTCTTAATAGAAAAAGACTGACATCCCTCACCTGCAAGAAAAAAGAATTCCACTAGCAGACCACCTTCCGACTTGAACCACAACATCAACTCTTCCCTGGGCCTCTAGCTTGCCAGCCTATCCTGAAGACTTGGGACTTGCCAGCCTCCACAATCGCATGATCCAGTTCCTTAAAATCTCTTTCTCAATCTCTCTCCCCACATATATATGTATATACATGTGTGTATACATATATGTATATACACAAAATGTTATATATAGCACATATATAATAGGATATATTTTATTACATATAATATATAGAACATATATAGAGCACATATCTTTAATATATACATATATGTGTGCTATATATAGCACATACATAAGATATATTTTACACATTATATACTATTATATATTATATATATATACATTTGGGTATAGAATTTGAGATTTTGTTAGATTTGTGTTGTCCTGGGCTAATTTATACAGTTAGCTTGCTTAACTGCTAGCCTCTCAAAAGGAAAGAATGGTTAAAAGTAGCAGGATGGCAAACAGCGGGAAGAAATTTAAATAACCCGATTGTGCACAAATAAACAAAATGGCTTTGAAAAAGAAAAAACATACACACACACACAAGAAACACACTACATAGGAACATACAGTTTTTCCCTTAAGGATAACTGAACAAAGATTCAAAATTGTAAAGGAAGTAAAGATAAATTAATAAAAGACTTTAAAGATAGACATACAATCATACTGTATTTTATTGTTTCTAAGTCACACATTTCCCACCCATTTCAAAATCATTGAATTGGAGATGCATCTTAACACCTGATAGCAAGTGAGTTTACCTGGCTGTATGTTTTTCTTTCTAGTAGTAAGTGCCTTATTGCTCCATTAACTATTTCATCTAAGATTAGATGAAACACAAATTAACTTTTTTAGACTTTGTAAAAATTTAATCATCTGAGCTTATTTTTCCGCAACTTACTTTTCTTGCTGACCATTTTAGCAAACTTTATTTAGGTATAGTTTGCATAAATACACTAATTCACATATAATAAAATGCACCCATTTTAAGTACACAGTTTGATGAGTTGTGATAGCTGTATAAAGTAATGTCACCGCAGTCAAGGTATAGTATACAATTTTCATCACCCCCAAAATCTTCATACATCTTTGCAGTCAAACCCCTCTCCTCTACTATTACCCCCAGGAAACTACTGATTTACTGTCACTATAGAAAAGTTCTAACTTTTTTTTTTTGAGGTATAATTGACATATATAACCTATTATTCATGATTCAATACTTGCATACATCGTGGAACGATCACCACAGTAAGTCTACTAAACATCCATCACTATAGTTAAAAACAACTTTTTTTCTTGTGACAAGGACTTTTAAGATCTTAGCAACTTCCAAATATGCAATACAGTATTACTAACTATTCACCATGCTGTACATTACTCTCCCAGGACTTAATTATTTTATAACTGGAAGTTTGTACCTTTTGACCCACTTACCCATCCCTTCCTCATGCCCAGCAACCACCAGTCTATTCTACCTATGAGCTCTATGAGCCGTTTTTGTTTTTTAGATTCCACGTAAGTGAGATGATACAGTATTTCTTTCTCTGACTTACTTCACTTAGCATAGTGCCCTCAAGGTTCTATGTGTATACACACACATATGTATATCACATCTCTATCCATTCATCCACTGATGAACATTTAGGGTTCTTCCAGTTTGTAGTCATTAAGGAAAAAGCTGCTACAAACATTCTCATACACTTTGTAGAGATGTGTTTTCCCTTCTCTTGGGTAAGTATCTAGTAAGAGGACTGCTAGGTCCTATGTTAAGTGTATGTTTGTAAGAATCTGTCAGAGTATCTTCTGAATCTCTGCACTATTTTGCATTATTACTAACAACGTATAAGGGTTCCAGTTGCTCTGTACCTTCAATATCGTTTGGGACTGGCAGTTATTATTTAAGGCATTCGAGTGGGGTTGCAGTGGGATCTCCGTCGTTTATATTTTTCTATTGACTAAGGGTGTTGAGCATCTATTCATGTATTAACAATTTGAACATTTTTATGAAGAATCTATTCAAATCACTTCCCTAATATTTATTGCATTAACTTCATTGTTGAGCTATAAGCATTTCTAGATATAGGTCCTTTGTCAAATATATGTATTACAAGTATTTTCTCTCAATCTGTGATTTAGCTCTTCATTTTCTTGTTGCTGCCTTTCAAAGTGCAAAAGTACTAATTTTAATAAATTCCAATTTATAAATCTTTTTTTCACAATTCATGCTGTTTCCTAAGAAATCTTTCTCTAGTCCAAGATACAACTTCTATGCTTCCTTCTAGAATTTCTAGAGTATTAGTTTCTATTAAGTCTGTGATCCACTTTGTAACCTAATAATTTTGCAGTACAATTATGCGTGGTGTGAGGCAAGAGCTGAGGTTATTTCCTTTTTGAATATATAATTATCCATTTGTTAAAAACACTTTCTTTCCTCGTTGAATAACTATGGCACCGTTGTGAAAAATCCACTGTCCAATATGCATGGGTTAATTGTTGAACTCTATTCCCACTGACCCTAACATTTCTTACAAAATATGTCTACTGGCAACAAATCCTCTTATCTTTTCCTTGTCTGAAAAAGTCTTTCTCACCTTTTCTGAAGGATATTTTTGCTGAATATAGAATTCTAGGTCAGCAGGGTTATTTCTTTCAGCACTTTAAAAATGTCATGCCAAGGCCTCTCACTTGCAGTTTGAGAAAAGAAATACAGTCACTCTCTGTTTGGAATGTGTCTTTTTTACCTCCAGCTGCTTTTCTCATTTTCTCTAGTTTTCATCAATTTGATTATGATGTACCTTGGAGAAGTTACCTTTGTGTGTTACCTTGCTTGCCTGTTGAATTTCTTGAAATTTCTTAAAAATCTGTGGGTTTATAGTTTTCATCAATTAGGAAAATTTTCAGACATTATTTCTTACATTTGTTTTTGTCTCCCATCCCAGCTTCTAGGAGTTCAAATACAAGTATGTTAGAAGACTTGAAGTTACTCCACAGGGGGCTGAGACACTGCTCTACTTTTTTCTCTTCGTGCTTTAATAAGCTTCAAGTTCACTGATCCTTAGTTTTGCAGTGACCTATCTGCTAAATTCCATCCATTCCTTCTCATCCAGCTAGTGACCAAAGAGGTAATCAAATAGCAGCAGTGATTTTTAAAAATAAACCTTATACATACGTGATTATTGGTATAAATGTATTAACCACAAATAAAATGTTTAAGGATTATTAATTTAGAAATGTATAGTCTTTTCCAATACCTTCTTTACTGTCTATAAAATTAGTTTGTGTGTATATACATATCATGTAACATTAGAAATGATACTGAATGACACCAATGATAAGCTGTTGTCATTTTTTAACTTTGACCTCTTCTATAAAAGGTGATAATGATCTGTGGAAAATGCTTTATTGTATCATGCCAACTTACTATAAGGAGTATTTCAAAATAATACAAAAGTAATCCACAGACTTGATTAAGGGAAGAGCAACTGATCCAAACATTTTTCTTCCTCAGTTTTTCATAGTAACTGCTGAAAATCCAATAAGCTGATTTTTCCAAGAAAGTTTATTCTATTAACTTTGGGTGTTCAATCCGTGCAATGGTCCAGTCAGGCTTTACTCCTTGTGTAAACTCCCTCTGAAATCTAGGGAAAAAGTTACAAATAATGTGAATCTTTTATCAGTCCAAGCACTTCCTGGATAATTATATAATTTGCAAGTATATATTAGAGGCAGTTTTTAGCAAAAGGCTAATGGTAAATAGTAAATAAATATCAAAACAAAAGTTTAATCTAACAACTTGATCACAAAAAATATCCCCACAAAATTACATGTGCATTCTCAACTAAGATAAGTATTTCTAATGGACTGATGTACACTTCAACATCTGCCAGTCCTTGAGAGAAACCTGGATGTTATTCTGTTGTTAAATACTAGCTATAACATACGTCTAATTTGAGGAGAGATAAACTGGACTATGGTGACAAAAACAGCACTTCCATGGAAGTTGGTTTATGTGATTAGGCGCAGAGCTTGCACTAAGATCAACCTTGAAAACAGTGTTCATAAGCTGCCCATGATCTTAGCAGGGAACGTCAGAAGAACCAAAGGTTAGTGTTGATTAGTGTTCTAGATGATGTCTTAAAAAAGAGACAATTCAGTAGATTAAAATCAAATAAGTATTTAAACATATAGAATATTTTGGGTAATTACAAATAAAGCAAAATTTAAAACAAAAAAAAAAAAAAAGAAAGAGCCTTTACTTCAAGAAAATGAAAAAATGAAGATATAATTCCCTTTATCTTAGTGAACAGAATATATTTTCTTTTTAGGTCATTTTTGGGATTTGTTCATTATTTTAAAGCAAACTTGTATAACTTTGGTGACATAATAGTACTCCCTTTTAAAAAAATATTAAATTATGTCTCCACTGACTTGTTTGACTTGTTCACTGTTCCAAATTTTATTCACATAATAATACACTATAGTGCCTCTTTTAAATAATTAGCTAACTTCAAAGGCAGGAACTCTTTAATTCTGTATCTGAACCCCTACCAGAGTACTTGGTAAACAGGAGATAGCCAATACAGGTCTAGCAAGTGGATGGTCTATGTACCAATTATGGCAGATTTTATATCCCAAAGGTGGCCATGACTACATCTCCCATCCTACGTGCTCCTCTGCAATGTGACCTTGCTGTTGCCCCATGAAGAGGTGGCGTCTCTCCACACCCTTTCAATGTGCAGATCCTGTGCCTGTGTCTGCTTGGACCAGCAAACCATGGCAGAAATGATGTTCCAACCCTGCGCATAGCCTTTTATCAGTATAGCACCTTCTGTCTTCTGCCTCTTGGAAGCCAACCACCATCTAAACATGTGACTAGCCTGAGACTATCACAAGCCCAAGCGACGAAGAGAGGCCCTTGGAGAATGAGATGTTTTGTATGGAGAAGCCAAGGAGAACCATGGAGCTGCCTGAGTGAGTGAAAAAGAATCCACTGTGGAAAAGAATCCCCTGGCTCCTGCCACCCCAATTGATACCAGGAAGAACAGAGAAAATCCCACAGGTGAATCTTTCCAAAATTCCTGAGCAGTGGAACAGCAGGCTGTTTGAAGCTACCAAGTTTTGCAGAGGGTTTATAATGTAGCAAAGACAGCTGAAAAACCGTTTAATTAAATTCAGCAGTATTACCTCTTCCTAATTTCTGAACACTCCTGTTTCGTGGCCAGTATGTCTTTAAGACTTTCTCTCTTCATAAATAACTTGTCAAATTTCAATCCTTTTCTTCCTAAAGCTCCCTTTAGTTTTCATACCTTCATACTACTTTCTATTTTCTAGAGAAAGGAGACAACAAAACGTGATTAGACTTACTCATAGCTTGCACTAAGAAGCTGTTTAGTTTCCACGTTCTGATTCCCCAACTTAACCTGGAAAACACTGGCTCCGCTTATAGTTTCACTGGGGATGTTGGCACTGGTTAGATACCAAAAGCACATCAGGATGTTAACAAACTTCCTTCCTTAGAGAAAAAACATACACACATACAAACACAAATCACAATCATCTATCATCCATATATGCAAAACGAAACCAGCAATTGGCAGTAGGTATACAGTTGTTACAGATCAAATGTTGTGCTTATTCTAGTCTAACTTAAGACACCTGTATTGACACATTTTTTGTTCTTTTTTTAGAAATTTCTCTTGGGGTTTATGACATATTTGCCCTCCTCTCTGCACTGCAGTAATACCAGCTACTTTTCACTGAGCATGTACTATTTACCGAGGGTACTACATGGATTATTTTTAATTTGTGGCATTTTTCTAAAATTATGGTAACAGGTATCTATTGTCAAAGCAAAAACAAGATGGTGGGGAGGAACACATTTTTTGCTAAGTAATTAACTTAACCCCAATTGCCGATAAAAGAAAGACTTCTACTCTGATTCACTCTGCTGCACCTGGCGGTTATGACCGTGCCCTGTGCAAAAATCAGGTAATACCTGTGGTGCTGAGATGCAATTTGAAATATTAGGAAAGAAGAAAATGTTTATCATTCAAAGTACCTTTATCAATGTTTCAAATTAACAAGTGTGTGAAATTTTTTTTCACTATTAAGAGTCCTCTAGCAGAACTGCCTTGGCAAGTGTGTAAGCAAAGGCTAGATTTCCTGTGCGTCTGGTAAATATTTGTAGAAGGAATAAGTAAGTCAGTACGTTTTCAGGAATGCTATTGGGAAAACAGGACAAGGAGAAGAACAGGTAAATGCTAAAGTTCCTTTCAACTATTTGCATTGTCTCCACATAAATCCAACTTGGGAGTTCTGAATTAATGTTACTGTCAAAACAGTCTTTAGCTAACATTATTTACTTTTTCTTTTACTCTTTATTCCTATTTAACACACAGCTGGACACTCAAAGTGCTCAATTGTTTCCTTTAAGATAGGAAATCTGAAACAAGTATTTTCAGTTTGAGACATGGGAGTAGCTTGTTCTAGACAATTTTCATTAACTAGTGACAGCATTTTCTTCTGTGAATTAAACATTATTAAGGAAAAGTTCTAGACAGAGAGGCATAAGAAACTATTACCCTATCTCAAATCTTCCAGAGCTAGAACTTTAAAGGATGAATATGTTATTTTCTCTGAAGTTCTATAAATATCCACGTGTACCAACAAAACCCCACTATTGCATGATTATTCACTAGTTTAGCTTGTCTGGACAATCGTGGATCATTTAAAGCTGACTCAGCTCCAGCATTACCTTTCTCATCGTAGTAAATAGAGATGTCTCCTGTTGATGTGTATACAATTTCATCTATGTCAGCAGCAAGGGCATTTTTATGGTTGTCAGGTAATGAAGTAACCTTTTCTTTCAATACCTGTAGCGCCTAAGTATGGAAAGAGCAAACCATAGTTCACCTGCTGAATTTTCAAAAAACTTTTTAAAAAGTGAAATGAATTCTTCACTGAATGAATTTTTCTAAAACTATTTTTAAATTTAGTACCATATTTATTCATCTTTGAAAGCAAAGCTGAAAAGCATCTAATTATTCAACTAGACAATTCCTAACAGAACATTCTTTGTAAGAACGGAGAGACGTCACATTTACTCACTTATGCCTTAAGGAGCAAGTCATTCTATACTTTTATATGACCCCGAGTACCCAAAAGGCAAGATACCGGGACTCTACTTTGGCTGATGGCACACATACTATTTTTAAGCATAAATAAAGACAATGTATATCATTCTACTTCAAGAGAATACTACATTTATTTTTAAAGGAAAATTAAAAGTATACTTTACCTCTTTGGCCACAAGTTCTTCCAACAGATCAAATTTACACTGTGACAGCAACCTGGACACATAAGCAAAAGCCTAAGAAAACAGTGGGGGGAGGGTAGTGATTATTATTTCAAAATACCATACAACATACAATACTCATACTTAATGGCTAAGTGTAACAAAGACTATTTTATGATAAAGGCAATAAATAATGTCAAACACTAAGATATGGATGTTAGGCACGACTCCTAAGTTGACTGACTTTTCTTTTCTCATATGGCCTTCCCACATGTACCACAGTAAATGAACAGGTTGCTAACAATGTATCCACTGTAAGGACCTGGGAAAAGATAATGTGTGGTATACATACTAGGTCCTCAATAAAAAATCTTCTATATATTTCCTCTTAAAATAATGATGAAGTAATGGCCATCGTGACTGTTATATGACCCCCTCTTGATCATGAACACACAGTAGCTGGGAAGTAGCACAACCTAGATGGTGCTGGGAGTCTGGAGATCTGGGTTGCAGCTGAGCCTCATTAAGATGAGTAAGGCAGGTATGGGAAAGGGGGAGAAAAGATAACAAGTTTGCACAGTCTAAGACTGTAGATCCCAACTTTGAAGTATGAGATCCCATTTAAAGCAGAGGGAAGCAGCTGCAACGCTCCACATTCCTAGCAATGAGGAATGGAACTGTGCATAAAACTCTACCTGTGTTCCAGGGGATGGGAGAGGGGAGTAAAATGACAAGTTCAAGAATTATGACAGGGATAAGAATAGGATGATTTGGGAGCATATAAGTGAGCACTTATGCCATCAGGGAGGACCAGAGTGGGCTTTCTCAAGGAAGTAACATCCAAGATGAAATCTGAAGAACTGGCGAGAGAAAGAGAATGCACAGGTGTGTCAGACAGATAATACTGTACAACTGTTACGAGCTGAATTATGTTTCTCCAAATTTATATGTTGAAGCCCTATCTTCCAGCACCTGAAAATGTAACTAAATTTGGAGACACGGCCTTTAAAGAAGTGATTAAATCAAATAAGTGTGGGCCCTAATCCAGTCTGACGAGTGTCCTTAAAAGGGGGAATTTGGACACACAAAGAGACACCAGGGGCACACATGCAGAGAGAGAAAACACACATGAGGACACAGCAAGAAGGCAGTCATTTACAAAGAGAGGTCTCAGAGAAACAACCTGCCAACACCTTGTTCTTGGACTTCTAGCCTCCAGAACTGTGAGAAAATAAAGTTCTGTGGTGTAAGCCACCCAGACTGAGGTACTTTGTTGTGGCAGCCCTAGCAAACTAATATAATAATGGCGCTGCATTTTGAGAAAAAGTGCAATTCTGAATGGATTCAAGGATTCAATTCTTTGCAAACACTTCAGAGGCCCTCAGGGTTCAGAGACACTAGATATTTTAGTAAGCTTTTGTATGTGGATGATGGGTGATATCTGATAAAAAGAAACAAAGACCATAACTATCATGTTGAAACCCAACCATGAGACTGTAGTTTGTGTGGCCAAAGAAGATCACACCCAAGCAAACTATCCTATAAGGTAGTAATGAACACTTAGGAGGCTGCTCTGATAAGGCTTTGATGATGTAAGATTGTCTAACCTAAACAGGCTTCTAGGAAATAGCCCTCGCTTTCATAGAAAAGGCCAAAATGTGCTGGCAAGACATAGGAAAACAAACAGTGTATGTTTAGTGTGGTTTGATGGCAGTAATACAGAAAATATCATATGTACGTAACAATGGAAAGGAGAGCCTGTAGAGAAAATAAAGCTGTTTAAGGATTGTATATCATTGGACTACCTATTTCTCTGTCTCACTTGATGAATAAAAGCTTGCCTAGATTGGTATAAAATACTCTTCAAGGATACACTGTATAACACAGGGAATATAGCCAATATTTTGTAATAACTATAAATGGAGTATAATCTTTAAAAATTATGAACCACTATATAGTGTATCTGTAACATATATATATAATATTGTACATCAACTATACTTCAATTTAAAAATAATTTTTAAAAAAAGCTTGCCTAGAGTGTACTTAACCATTTCAATTTCTAGTGACTCTGGAGGAACAAGACTGCTTGTAGAGAGGGTCACAGGATAATGCACCCAGCACGTGCTAGCTATGCTTCCTTGGGCCAACTGATTCACCTTTTTGGAACTCGATTTTATCATCTGTGAAGGAGAATTAGACTAGAATGATGAACCCTAGGTGCCTTTTTATTTTCATATTCTATGATTAAAAAAAGAAAAATCTTAATGCGCATGATCTCATCGATAATTTGATATTCACAACCCAAGATAACATCTTATTGCTGGGAGGTTAACCTATAGAGAAAGGGCAAGTTGAGCCCATGAAAGTAGATAAGCTAGCCAATGTTTTTGCACCAGATTATTCCCAAGCCCTAGAATTTATACCTACGTAAAGGAAGGTATAGTTGCCTTATGAGATTGAGTAGGGAGAAGGTTTTTGGGCCATGTCTTTTCAAATCTTAGTTGCTGAAAAACTGACTTGCTTGATCTGAAAGGTCCTTTAAGTAACCACTGGCTTAATGGAATTACTAAATATTTGTCATGGATGATCCAACATTCCTTATGGAAATCAGAATGGTTAAATGCACAAAAATTGACTTAAATGAAGCAAAACTGCATACAGACTGGCTGATGAAGGGGTGAAGAGATTACTTAATAGCAAGGAAAGGTGCTAAAATAGCCAACAGCCAAGACCACTTGGATCAGAGAGTGACTAAAAGTGTCCCCATGCTTCTCTGTGTTTAGAGGAAGTAGGGACTTAGGCCTGATCCCTGTCCTTGGTGGGAGATGGTTTCCATTCCTTATTGACACATAAATGAGCACAAGGTAAACAAGATCACAGGTCATCAGGAGGAATTGTGGAGAACAGTAGCATCCTGCCCATTCACTCTCCATGGACAAAAGATTTTGAGAATTGATATGAGCAGAGGTTTATCCCTTATGATGCTATTGATCAAGCTTGCCCTTTGCTTTTTAATTTTTTTTTTAATAAAAACGTAAATCAGTCAAGAGTTGACTCGGGGAAGCAGAAAGCAGGAGTTAATATTGACACTGAGTATACAAAGCTGAAACAGTTAATTTATAACTGAGAGATCACATAATAAATATAAATGGCTGTGTTTATAGAAATAATCTGGGGGAAAAAACAGGAGTAAACATATCAATATCAGCATTCAAACAATACTATCCTCTTCATTTTGCAGAAAATCACATTCAGAAAAAATAAAGCCGTACAGCTTTTAAGTGTCAGAAACAGGCTTTGAATCCACTTCTATCTGATTCAAAACCTGTAGAGAGCATAAAGCATAATTAAGGGACTTCACCCTGGAAACTCAAATCCCTATTCCTTGCCGCCAGTGCAAACATAAGCAAAAGCTCAATTTAAGTGAGGAAGTGGTCGGAGGGCTCTGTGTCTGGGTCACTACCCAAATTTATAACTTGAGACCCAGTGGAAACCTCACCGCTAAACATTGTTGCGTGTAAGTTGAATGCACAAGAGGCTGACTGATTATCCACAAGGAAATAAACAAACCTGCTTCGCTCCCTCGGAGAATTCTGCGATGCTGAACTCTTGGTCGAAATAGGCCCAGATAAGGAAGGCGTAAATTCGAGTCCGAACCCAGTTGATGGGGTTGGAGAACCCCAGAATGATCATCTTTGTTTTCTGGCGCTGCTGGGGTTGCTCCTCAGTGCTATAGGTTCGCCGAAGGCAGGAAGGGAAAGCAGGGAGGGCTGCGATGAGTCCCGGAGGGTTGAGCAGGGGACGCCCGGGACCGCGAACAGGCAGCGTCAAGGCCGCCGAGGCCCAAGAGACTCGAGGAAATAGGGCCGCTCTGGAGCCGAGGCGGCGGCAGCAGAAGCAGCAAAGGCCAGGCAACGGCGGCCTCAGCTCAGCCGAACCGGGAGTCCGGAGGCGTGCGGCCAAGCCAAACAGAGGCCGAGAGAGTAGAAACCGGGGTAAAATACAGACGGCCTGCGCCATTTTTGTGACCTTTCACCCCTGTGCTTACCTGCGCAGTAGGAAAAGAAAGTCGGTGGGAAACCGCTTCAGCGGGATTCGGAGAAAGAGGCTGGAGAGGCAAGCTAGCTTGTTGCTGCCACCTCTGGTGAGTCCGCCCCATCCCCGCTCTCCGGCACAGGCCCGCCGGCCCCAGCCCCGCGCTGGGAACTGGCTGCTCTCGCCGACTCCGCCGTGCTCACGGACCTTTTCTCTCCGGATCGTGTTTCCGGGCGGATCGCGCGAGGAGGAACGCGTTGGGGCCGGGGTTCCCAGGACTTTGAAGAGGACGGGCACGAGCAACCATGGCTGGGCCTCGCATCCCGGTACCCAGGCTGGAGGGAGTTTCGCAGGAGCAATTCATGGAGCAGCTATACCCTCAGGTGAGCCCCTCCCGCGAGACAGAACCGCCGGAAGCCAGAGGATACCCGAGCGGGTCCAAACGGGTTTCTTGCTACCCAGCGTGTGGGGACGAGGCTACTGTCGGCTGAAGACGGCTGGTTGACTCTGCGGCCAAGGGAGAGGGCTCATGGGGGATGTTGACTGGCTCAGCTATTAAATTTTACAGAGAGAACTGCTTCACATTTTAGGGAAGCAGGATGACGGCGGAGAGCTGAATACGAGAAATATTTTGCCTAATAAGCACCGCTCGCTGCTTAGGGCGGCCTTGCAGAAGCCCTATCGCGATATCTTCTGCCGTTTCCATGGCGACTAAGGGAGATATCCGCCTCCCCCGACTCTTCCCATCTTCCAGTCCGACTTCCTAAATTCTAGTGGAGGTTTCGCGGATCCCCCCTGGTGGCGCAATGAGCGCCTGTCGGTTTACTCGAGTTACTGAATTCAAAGGAGCAATTTTTCACTGCACTGAGCCGAATCGCCTGAAAAACTTCCACTGGTCTTGGATTCTAACTAACGTAGGTTCTAGTTCCCACTTTCGACTCCCTTATATGTGTCATTTGAATGTTAGTTCTTTAACCGAAAACTCAGAGAAAAATATTAAGGGGGAAAAACTGTTTTTACTAGCAGTGCTTTGCAGAGGAATCCAGGCTTCAGAAAAACTGAGAATAAAGAGTCCAGAAGATGTTTAGAGAAAAAAAACCCACAGATTACAGTTAGTTTGTTCAAGGTAGACAGCCTCCTGCTCCCCAGCTACTTTACTTGATATTTACATCTGTAAGGGTGGTTATAGAGCTACAGTTTGAGTATTACAAGAGTCAGGAATGAGGTTTTTTTCCTTTAGAAATTAGCAACCTACAGGGAGTATTCAAGTCTTCATTTATTTGGGGAACTAGTGCTAAGCGGGTTTTTGTCCTCCCCACCCCCACAGCAGGGCAAGTTAGTCTAAGATGCCTTCAGGGCAGTATTGTGAAGATTAAATGATGGATGTATGTGGAAGTGTTTTGTAACATGCATAGCAAAAAGTGTTTTGCAATTTAATCTTTCCAAACAAGACATATAATATGTCACAAAGAGCATCACCGAGTTTCATAAAATACAAACATCACTCTTGTCACAGTGTAATAAAACTAGAAATTAACAACTAAATTGTAGAACAAGACTTTACTACTTGGATATACTGAAGAAAAGCTGTGAGGGGGTATAGTCCTATCAGATTTTTAAACATGTTTTAATAAGCAACAGTGTGGTACAGGTGCATGAATAGACAGACCAGAGGGGTAGAATAGAAAGTCTGGATGGAGATAAATGTCACATATATGTGTGTGTGTGTGTGTGTGTATGTATATGTGTGTTACATAAGTATATATACATATATATACTTATGTATACACTCACACATATTTATCCAGACTCTGGATAAATTACCATTCATATGGAAATTTAGTATGTGATGGACATGACATTTTAAAAATCACTGGGGCAAAGATGAACTTCTAAATAGATGGTGCTTGGACAACTGAATAGTCATTTAGAAAATGATAAAGTTAGATTTATATCTGACACCATACATAAGAATAATCTCCAGATGGATCAGACATAAATGTAGAAGCAGACTTCCTAAGTACTAGAAGAAAACATGGGTAAATGTCTCTGTAATCCAGTTCTGTGGAAAGGTTTTCTAACTATGACTCAGGTATAATAAAAGAAAAGATTAAAATTTGAATGTGTAAAATACAAACTGGGAAAAATATTTGCAACATTTATTTCATTAAAGGGCAGTAAAAGCCCATGTGTGTAAAGAATTTTTAAAAATTAAGGGAGGAGGTGTCAAAAATCTGATTAAAAAGTGAACAATTGACGAAAAGATAAAAATGGCCTCTGCAACACATGAAAAGATGTTCAACTTTACTTATGAGAGAAATTAAAACTACACTGAAATACCATTTATCTATCATGTAGACAAAAATCAAAAGGCTTTAATAATACACTCTTGGTGAGTCTGTGAAGAAACTGGTATGCTCACATTTAATGTCAAGTGGTTCAACTCTCATGGAGGGGAATTTGGCATGTCTAACAAAACTGCAGATGTGTTTATAATATAGGAAGTCCTCTTTAGGAGGTTAATCTGGGGGTACACCTCCAACAGTATGAAAATATCTGGTGTTTATTATATTTGCACATTATTGCAAATAACCTAAAAACCTATGCATAGGATACTGATTGATTAAATTGTTTGCACTGTGGTATACTAAGCCATAGAAAAGAATGAGGGACATAATCTGAGCTGATAGCAGTGATTTCCAGGATATATTTTTAGATTAAAAAAAAAGCAAAAAAAAGTGAAAATTCATAATAAGACTCTTTTTGTGTAAAAAAGGAGAAATAAGGAGGTATATACTTTTTTTTAAATCACTTTGCAAGAAAGAAATAGAGTAACTGTAAGCTAGACAGTGAGACTGGTTATCTATAGGGGATGAGAGGTTACGAGGTGGGTGAATGTAGATATGGGGACCTTTTTATTTAATTTTGACTTTGGAGATCCCATTAATGTTTTCCATTCTAAAGTAACAGTCATAATAAAACTAACAAGCATGAGGAATAGTTCTTAAAAAATCAAACTCTAATATAGAATATAAAAGTAGCAAATAAACCTAAGTAAGGGGGAAGAAGAGAAGTAACCCCAAGTCACTTTTTTTTTCAGTGGAGGTACTGGGGATTGAATCCAGGACTTCCTGCATACTAAGCATGTGCTCTGCCACTGAGCTTCTCTCCCATTCCCCCATCCACTTTTGAACACAGTACTTTGATTATATAGCCTCAGTCTAAAGACAAAAAGAACTGTAAACAATACTGAATTCGAGTTTGTAGGCTTTTTTAATAGTGGTATGACTTCAGAATTGTAAAAGTATTTATTGTGACTCCTAAGACTGTACGATTGATTAAACATTGAGGATGATAGGAACCAGGTTTCTCACTAAGAGAAGGAAGTTTATGTATATGTTAATAGTATAGGTTAGAATAAATTTTGTGATATAAGATCAGAATTCAGAGGTATCAGTTCGTCATACATCCATTAATTGCACTTGTGTTTGTAGTATATATGGAGAGAGAGTAATAGACATAATTATATGCATATGTGGGGTGTGTATATTTGGGGAGGAGGGAGTGAGAATATACACACCTTCATGTACTTCCTAACTCTCCCCTGAGAAGAACTAGAAGTAATGACACACCAATAGCAATGAACACATTGCTCCTTTCTGCTTAGAGGTCAGTAAAGAAGGGTGCTTTGGATATGATCCAAAGTAAAGAAAAACTTTTCACTTTAAAAACTCTGCTGGGAGAAAAGCAAAGGCCCCAGAATATCCAAAGCAAACTTGAAGAAGAACAAAGTTGGAAGACTTACACTACTTGGCTTTAAGATTTACTGTAAAGCTAAAGAAATCAGTGCAGTGTGGTACTAGCACCCAGATCATGGTTTCTAACTAGCATTCCCCACTAGAAGAAATGATTATAGGGCTGGGACAGAGATGTGAAAGGATCCTGGGTTGTGTTACTTTGCCATGAAGTGTTGAAGTGCTCAGGTAAAAAGTCGTAAGAGCCAGCTTGAAGGGGCTCTTACTGGACAAATCTGGGATAATTTGAGCATCAAAATTATATCCTGTAGATTATAGCTCAGTGAATAAAATGAATGGAGAAATTAGAACTGATTTTGACTTTAGAATATCGCCTAGCACACGTAGAAGATGATAGAGTGGTTTTTTAAAATCACAGTTTTTACACTCATCATAGCAATCCTTAATGTAGGCAGTTGATAAAAATTAACATCACAATAATAGGGAAAATATCGTGTGCCACCTCCCATGTTGCACTGAGAGGGGCACAACATTCCTTCCAGAAGTGTATAACTTGAATCTCATCATGAGGAAACATCAGATACTCCCAAATTGAAGGGCAGTCTGCAAAACAACTGGCCTGTGCTAGTCAAAAATGTCAAGGTCTTAGAAGAAAAAGTCTGAGGAACTGTTTCAGATTAAAAGATACAGCAATTAAATGCATTGTGACATCTCAGAAATAGGAAAAATATAAAGGCTGTTATAAAGACAATAAGCAAAATTTAGGTACAGACTTAAGTATTATATCAGTGTTAAATATAGTTTTGATACGTATTCTGTGGTTATGTAAAAGAGTGTCTTTGTTTTCAGAAAATATACTCGAATTTTAGAGATAAAGGATCATGATATCAGCAATTTACCCTGAAAGAATTCAGAAAAAATTAAATTATCTTTAATATGTCTCTCTCTATACACACATGGTGAGAGTGAGAGCAAATGGTAAAGTAAGTGGGGCAGAATGTTAAATTAACAGCTGGTGAATCAGAGTAAATAGTATATGGGAATTCTTTGTAATGTTCTTGCAACTTTTCCGTAAGTTTAGAATGGTATTGAATAATTACAAACAATATTTGATATTAAGTACAAATTTTAATCATTTGTATTTTTTGTCATACTTAACACTCATGAAGATGTTTTAAATAATGTTGAGATTTCTCTTGTTCCTAAGCTTACGATGCTACTGCTGTTTTGTTTGGTTTTGTTGCTGAAATTTTGTTCTAATTATATTACATGGGTGCTCCTCCTGTTTCAGTTACAGCATAAATTACCAAAAGGTTTACGTTTGAGCATCTTGGGCTCAAGAATCATTTCTTACTTGTTTTTGTCCTTTTATTACCAAATGCAACTCCTGCTATATTCTTGGTTTTCCTTAATTTTTTATTGTGTTTTTTCACACTTACAGAGAAAGCCTCTAGTGTTGGAAGGAATTGATTTGGGGGCATGTACAAGCAGATGGACAGTGGATTACCTAAGCCAAGTTGGAGGGAGGAAAGAGGTGAAGATTCATGTTGCTGCAGTTGCCCAGATGGACTTCATTAGTAAGAACTTTGTATATAGGTATTTTCTTCTGAGGTTTACTCTGGGGATACAGATAACTTTTTTTTAAACATTTAAGGTATTTTTGCATTGTACAAAGACCAAATGGCATTTCCTCATTTGTCTAGTTTGATATAATCATGGCATAGCTTACTGATCTTTAAAGAATGGATTTTGAAAGACGAGAATTCTGAGCTTACATAATTATACAAAGACAAAGACCATTTTTAAAATAGAGTGTATGCCCAATACCTCCTGGAGTCATGGAGGGAACAGGGCATTTTTGTAACTCGAGTTAGATTACATCTAAAGTTTGGTGTGCAGTATTCGTTCAGTGCTTAATTAATTCGTTGATCCTCCCACAATAGTAATTGTTATCTAGAGTAGTAAATTCTCAAGTTTTTCTTCATAACCTATTTTGAATTTAAATGCTCTTAATTTTGGAACATTTTCTAATTCCAAATTGTTTTTAGATAAGTGTAAGCTGTTTTTTTTCTGCCCTTTCCAGAAATATAGGACAGGTAGTTGCTAAGTTTGGTATAATCTTTCATCAACTTGGATAACTTTAAAAAAAGTTCTCCTTTGACAAAATAACTTTCATGGTTACCGTTTCATGCCTTGGAATCTTTAAAAGTAAGAAATACTTAAAAGCTGCTGAATGTTTAAACTTGAAAGCTTAAAGACTGTAATCTTAAATCTTACAGATTTAATACACTATTTATTCCCATGAGTTAATCCCTTGAATTTCATTAAAAATGTTAAATTTAAAAACAAACAACTTTCAAATTCTGAGCACGTGCAGTTCCCAGCAAATTCAGTCTATTGAAAAACCATGTCGTTCACAAAAGACTGATTTTTAAAGAAAGGTAAGAGTTTTAAAGAAACTCTTAATGTTCCTTCCAGAGTTTGGAGATGAGTTAAACAGAGCTTCTAATGTCCAGGGCCATTCCTTTCTCATTAGACTTTTCCAAGCTCATATAGCAGCCTGCCAAAGCATTTCTCGGTTTTTGATCCTTTGAATATTCACCATTATAGTTTCAGTTTTTAATAGGCCATTAATTGAATTTAATTGCCATAAGTTTTTCCAAGTGTAAGAACTTTTCATTTTTTATTAAATCACAAAAGTGGAAGAAAGTGGTGGAATGATGAGCATTTTTCAGCCTGCAGTTAATGATGTTTATTTTTCGGGGAGCCCAGTGCCATAACAAGTGGGTATTGAAACTTCCTCTTGAATTGCCTTGATATTGTGTCATGTCCTATAAACTTTTCAAAACATGTTTTTGAAGCGCATATATTATGTAATAGTTCCTAACCCAGCTTCCTCCAAGCCTTTCACTACAGCTACTAAAGAATTGTAAGATTATTTTCTTAAAGTAAGAAAGAAAATAGATTTGGTCATTTTTGGCAGTTGTCAGGGAGTAGGAAAGAGGGGAGGCATCTAGGCCAAAGGCTAGAAAGTTGAGAAATCCTACACACGTGTATCATTATTATCACTTCAGCTTAAGGTTGCATTTTTGCTTATTGAACATTTGAAGATAAATATGTTTCCAAGTCTTAGCTTTGATTTCTTGCCTCTTACTACCTCTCACTAGTCTTCCAGAGTCAGTATACTATGAAAAAAAAGAGCCTTGTGTAGTGTTGGCATTCTCATGGTCGTAGATTTTTTTTTAAGTCTGAATCTTATATAAACTTTGCTTTGCTGCTTCTACTTATCACATCATCTAGTTCCTGTCATCGTCCTGTTTTCATTGTGTATTGTACTTTCGTCATTCCTAATCTTGATTTTGCAAAGCAGCCTTTCCAAAATGGGGAGCAGGACAGTACCTAATTTTTCTTCTTCTTTTTCTAAATGTTGGTAACTACTTGCATGCTGCCATATTACTGTTATTAACCCCACCATCTGTCCTTTATCAGGCATCCTAGATTACTCATTTAAACTCCAGAACAATCTGTGAAGTAGATTTTTTAAATACTAATTACACAGATAAGAAAATGGAAGCTTGAAAGTGTTAAATAACTGACCCAAGGTTGTATAGCTTGAAATGATGGAACCAGAACTTGTACTCAAATTTCCCTGACTCCATAGAGTCCTAATGATTCTAACCCTTCTTTGATACTACCGCCCTTACCAGTCTGTGTGTCAGTCCAGACGGGTGGAACTTCTGTATCAGATGCCCTTCTTTTTGCATCTATCCTATGCATAGATAAGACCTCAAGGCCAAGGAATTTCCCAATTCATATAACCTCATTTCCCCACCTCTCAGCTTTGCTTTTGCAGAAGCTCTGACACTACCTAAGGGAGAAGGTTGCTGGAGGCAACCACATTCTGATTCTCTGGACTGAGCTACTCTATCTGCCTGTTCTTGTAAAGGTCTGAAGTTCTCTAGTTAAAAAGCAAACCCTGGAAACTACACCAATTACAGAGGTAGCTCTGGGCCAGAGAGGCTTCCACATTGTTCCCAAACTCTTCAAAGATGCTTTGCTAAGAGTGAAGGGTAAATGGTGAGGTCAGAGATGTAAAACACCGAACAATACATTTGTTGATATTATTAGGCAGAAACTATAGTAGGAGATTGGTCTGAGTAGATGACAGACTCCTTTCTTCTCTGTTGCTGTGCTCACTCTACAGAATTATCAGCAGTGTCCTCATTCACATTGACACCCACTAGTTCATAATCTGGCATCAGATCCACTTAGCTTTGCAAAAGGATACAAGGCAGGAAACAGCATTCTGGCAGGATAGTATCAGTGAGAGTGCTTACACCAATCCAGGTTCTGCTTTTTGGCTCACCGAGTGACAGCTTACTTAGAAGGGCGCAAGACTAGCTTTGTTAAGCCACATAGTCCACAAAAACCACTAACGTGAAATGGCTCATGAACTTAGCTTCTAGGTACATACTCAGTTACTAAATTATATTGCACACAGGGACACCAAATCCTCTGCTTCCTAACAAGTGTTTGTAGTCGATTAACAGTCCTTCTAGTCCAGATATAATTCACCAATCAAGGGTGATTTTTATAATAAACAACATTACATGATCTAACAGCTGATATTTCACATTTATCTTAACCCAGTATGTTTCTAGGAAACCATTGCAAGGTCATCTTACAGAGGAGAAAGGGCTAACCCTTTCTCTTCACCTCTTCAGTACAGATTTCAAGTGGAAAGACATTTGGTAGTAACAGTGAAAGATTACAACTCTTAATCAGAGGTGTGGAGGCTGGAGTGCAGTGCAGGAGGAGAAGGGAGTGTTTTGCCTCAGATGCTTTTGAAGACTTCACTGTCTCGATGTTCCTGATAAGGTTTCCTCTTCTGGCAGTGAACAGTTTTGATTTTAGAAGGTTGAAGGGATAGAATGACCTAGAGAAAAGATAGCCCTCAGGGCTCAAGAGTGTGAGATAAGGAAACAAACTTTCCTTCTATGATGTTTAGCCCTGTTCACCAGGATGACAGGAGATGGGTATTTGGGCAGAAATATTGAAGAAGAATAAAACTTGGTCACTACTGGGTTTCTTCTTGAGCTATTCCTCAGGAGCCCTGAAATGATAGACGATGGTGCAAGAGGATGAGAGAAGTTTTGTGTGGTAGTGCCAGAAGGCAGGAAGATTGGTGAGAGGGGGAGAGACTTTGTATTCATTGGACCGTTTGCCTGTTATCTCTTCCAAAGGAGCACTAGCAGTTTGTCCCATTCATCACAAGACTTCTTGTGTCTTTTTTTTTTTGCCATGATACTTGAAAATTGGTAACAATAACAGCTTGAAATTTTGTGTATTTCCAACAGCAGCTTGGAATAGGAGTATATTAACATGAGACGAATCCTTCTGTACCATATTTAAAAATCTTTAATTTTTGAAATCAAAACTTCAGACCACCTAAGTCAAGTAAGCTTACCACTAAATGAATTTTGAAAATTTAGAATTCCACATAATGGGTTATAATAAAAATTATGGATATCATAAAACAGAAGATCATATCCAACTCCAACAAGCATATAGAGAGAGAGAAAGAGTAACTAGAGTGTTACTAGTTGATTTATTATTACTAAGTCCGGATTCTTTTGCGTTTATTCAGAACTTTACCTTTTGACAAGTTGGTCCAGAGAGCAGCTGAAGAAAAGCATAAAGAATTCTTTATTTCAGAGGTAATTGCTTTTAACAGATTTTTTAAAGAAAGCATTAGTTTGTATATACTAAGCTATTTTCTCAAAGAACATTAGCTATGTAAGAGCTGTAGCCTTCCATGTATTGTAGCTGTGCTATTTATTAGATCCATAAGATTTTTGTGACTAACTAAATAAAATCTGTAGAATACAGCACAGTGCCTGAGATGTAGGAACTACACACTAAATGTTAGCAATTAATATTATTTCCTTTGAAAATGTGTTGGTCTGATATGCTAAGTTCAAATACTAATGGAGAACTTTATTTTCATATCTTACTATTAGACTGTTTCTGTATTTTATTATTGTTATTATCAACGTGATTTTCATTGTGTGTATTTCCTATAACATTTGTTCAGGATTAAATGCAGAAGAATTTTACTTACCTACATTATAATCCTGCTTTAAATAATTCAGTTAAATTTCTTGAGATAAGGCATTGAGGCTTTTATAAATACATTTTTTAAAAAAGTTTACTGTGTTATCTCAAAAGCACATTTAAAATTGCTTTTTAAGCTTTGAATAAAGCTGTTGTCTGCATCTGAGCCAGCAGGGCTGGTGGTCAGTTTGGTTGCAAAAAGAGCTGCATTTTCACAGTTCTCTCATCAGGTAATGTTTACACTAGATCCACTAGTATCCCTACAAACTCCCGAGCTCTGTGATTCTGTAGTATGACTAGAATGTCTACTAAAACAGTCCATTAGCTATTCCTGAAAGAATGTTCTTTCACTTTTTAGCCATGCTTTAACATACTTGTTCAGTTGCCCTTTGATACTTTTTCTGTCCAAGGGAAGCAGCACAGATTTAAATAGCCATGAAATGTCAAGTGAAGTAAAAGAAATACAGACAAGATAAAGGGATTTAAGTCTAAAAATTAGGGGGTGTGTGTAAATAAGTTGAATATGGATTGTCAGTTTGGTTCTTGAGAAAGCAGGTGCTAAGATGGAATTAGGAGGGCAAAAGTTTTATTGGGGAATACCTGTGAAGGGAGAGGAGAGGATTGGGTAGGGGAGCCATCAGACAGTGATGCAGAGCCGACGGTCTCTGCACCAGCTCAATGTGGAACTCCTGAGCAGACTGTCTCTTAGAAGAGTCCTGTCTTGGGTAGCAGCAGTGTCTAGGCCTTTTTCCATCTTGCTTAGTCACAGGTTGGGGCTACCCCAAGAAGAGCATGACCTTTAGTTCAAAGGGTGAGGTGGACCTGAAGGAATTAACAGCTGGCAGCTGTAAGTTAATCACACTCCTTACAACTAAACAATGAGTCCTTTCTTGCGGGGGGATCAGCGGTGCATCTCAGTATCTGCCACATGAATTAATTTTTTAAATCATGAAACATTCGAAGTGGTGGAAAGACCTTAGAACTTTGAAGAACAGACTTTGAAACCCATTCAGCCAGTAATAAGTCTCTGAAGCTTATTTGATACAGTACTAGTTAAAATTCTAAAAACAGTGAATCTAGGAGGTTGATTAAATTTTTGATCCCAGATGTGTATTATATTGTAAAGGTAAATAAGAAATATTTAGAAGTTTGTGTTTTAATGGTCAGTGTAGGTGTAAAAGACGCAGAGTCCTTGAGTTGGGCTGCCCCTGTGCTTGACCTGATGTATCTCAGTTCTCTGATTCTTACAGGAAATGCAGGCAGTACAATGCTTTATAATTCAAATAGTTGCCTATTGGAGCTACTCAGTGAAGTTATAAATGACAGTTTCTTAAAGCATCAACTTAAATTTACTGCTATGAAATGACATATTTCTGTTTCATACATGAGCTGACTGTTAAGGATTTGGCTTCAGAATTATGTGATCAGAGATAAGCTTAGCTTGATAAAATGCAATGTTTCAGTTTTTTTAAAAATTTATTTTTGAAAGTATAAAGTATTTTATTTAGCTTCTGTTCTGCATTTGTATGGTATTCATGAAGTCTGTTTGGGACCTCAACAGTACTCTGAGATCACGTGTGCTATACAAATGAGAATTCTTTTAAGTCTTAGGACACTGTTAAAATCCTAACTAATTTGGAATATAAAGTCTAAATTAAGCATCGTGGCTTTAGGTGTAGTATGTGTGTGCTGCCTTTAGAATTTACCTAATGCTCTGTGGATTCAGTCATTATTACAAGCAGCAAATAAAAACAGTTCTTCATATGGCCACCAGAGAGCATTAGTAGAAAGGGTAAGAAAGCAACTTTTTCAAAAATGACTTAATTGGGTTAGATTGCATTCTCGTATTTTTAAGTGAATACTGTTATTATTTTTCTTCGGAATATTTAAGGATGAGAAGTACTATCTTCGATCACTTGGAGAAGACCCTAGAAAGGTAAGAATTCTGAATGTAAAGAGTCATCTACTCTAATATCTCCACAATTAAGAAACTAATTCTACTGTATTTTATACAGATGGCCATTCAGCTAATAAAATATAACCTAAAATAATTATAAAAGTCCTGAATAATTCATTATATAAGCTTTGATATGTATTCAGAGTCAAATTAATATGGACACAGTATTAAGTAGTGGTCTCTAAAATGATCAAGTCAAATTATATTTTTTCCCTTCATGACACCATAATTTCGTTACCTTCTTTTAGTCTTCTCCCTTAGTAGAACCCACAGGCTTTACATAGCTGTTAACATTCAAGCTGATGACTCCTAAACTTAACGTACTTAATATTAGAGTAGATGACAATTATATGATTCTTGCTTAAAGTAGGAAGAACTTTTCTATTAATGAAGCATATTAAGCTTAACAATAGTGATATTGTTGAATCTGCAGTCTTGTTCCACAGTCTGTCATTCCTTCGTTTGAAAGATCATGACTGGGACATTGTGCTGTACACCAGAAATTGACACATTATAACTGATTGTACTTGAATAAAAAATAAAGAAAAATTTAAAAAAAGAAAGATCATGTGTTGACTGTGACATCCTAATATTTTAAAGCAGTGAACAAACAGTTTTGCCCCATTCCTCCTTAATATGGGTTCTGTTGGCAGCCTTAGATAAAGTAAGCATTATGCCAATATTGTATTTATAATTAAAGTTCTCACTGTGTTTCTTTCAATGCAGGATGTTGCAGATATCAGAAAGCAATTTCCTTTATTGGAAGGAGATATTAAGTTTCCACAATTCTTCAAAGAAGAGCAGTTCTTTTCCAGTGTTTTTCGAATTAGCTCACCAGGGTTACAGCTTTGGACCCACTATGATGTATGATACATAAATGAGAAATCTTAAAACTACAATAGCCCTTTAGAATTTATAGACTTAACATTCACAGTTTTAACTTTCTGTACGCTACCCCAAAGATCTTTAACATATAATTTGTTGAAATATGAAATTTGAAAACGGGTGCTCTGCAAGGTGGTAGTATGGGAGTGAATTATTTATTTAGCTAATGCCAAAGCCTAGTTAGTTTCTCACATTTGCATTTCCCTGTGGTCTTGTTTTTAGTTCATTATATATTTACTAAATTTTATAAAGTAGTTTTTTTAAATGTGAAAAATGGGCACCAGATGAGGGGGAAAATTGTGAAAGTAGAAAAAGTGTTAAGTTTGTGATCTGTGAGGATGTTGACATACACATGACTGAATAGAACCTTTATTTAGGAGAAAGGTGGAAGCTTGTGGAGAGCCATTTCTAGTTATGAGAATTTGGGGGTATCTGAAGGTCTTAGGATATATATCCCTTGAGAATGTCAAATGTAAACTGTATTGAGCAGCAAGATGTGTAGAATATTGATCTTGATCATTCATTTATTCTATGGTGTTATAATTTTATTTGCTGAAATATATGCATATAAATACCTAAAAACATTAAAAATCTACTATTGTGTTTGGTTTGGTGTTGGGTAGAGAAATTTAGAAGGCTTTAAAGCAATACCTAATAGGTTTCTAAAGATAAAAGAATATTTTTAAAATTCTAAATCAGATATAATAAGGTTTTATAAATGCGTTGTATAATTCAGCTGAGGACCTCTTGGGAGGATTTTAACATAGCTCTATAATTAAATGAGATAGATATATAAAGTCTTAGTTTTTTTTTAAGATTTTATTTATATGAATGATAATGTGAGAAAATGATGTGATAATTCATACATTTTTAACTGAAGTCAATAACTGTATTTTAAATTTTATGTAGTATCCCTTTATAAAGTTTTTCTTAAATTGAAAATAAAAATAAGTCAAAGAACTTCCAGTTACGCAGTTAAAGTTTATGTAAGTCAAGGGTTAGTGGTAAAAGGAGAAATGCTTAGGTAAAAGTAATATATACATAATCATGAATATATCTTGCTTAGTATATATTTTAATTCTTTAGCTGAGAAGTAGGTAGCTCTGCCTTTTTAACATTTTTCAAAATTTGTACTAGTGCAGTGTACCCTTACATACATAGGAAAACTCCATTAATTAGTTCATCAAGAAAATTTGCCAAGTCACAGTCTATAGAAGTAATTTGGAAATCAAGATTCACACCTATAATCAAATTATGGTTGGCTGTACGGTGAGAGGGCTTAGCGATGGTTGCAACAGCAGAACCATGTACTTTCCCAACACCTAAGTGCTAAGTGCTTGCAGTCTGTTGTCTGATGTTGGCCTTATAGCATTCCTTGACAGAGACATAAAATAGATACTTACAAAGGGAACCTCAAATAGGTGTAGCAACATTCATTGTCATAATGGTGGGGCAAAGGCAGATCTGACTTCAGATTTCCCATGGTAAAGCAGTGCTGCCGAAATATCTGTAATAAAGCCACAGTTTTGTTTGGAATGTAAATGTTTTCGTTGTTAAAATATTACCATGAGAGTTTTAGGTAGTGAGTCAGGTTTTTATTAAAGGATAGGATTTGCAGTTAACTGTTTGGAATACTATTGGGTCTATTTATTTGAATTTTAGATAACTGGTTATCATTAAGTTCTTATTTATCTTCAGGTAATGGATAACTTCTTAATACAAGTAACAGGAAAAAAGCGTGTTGTACTGTTCAGTCCACGAGATGCCCAATATTTATATTTATCAGGTACTATTTTTTTAAGTTTATATTTCTAAAGTCTCTTTTATTCAATTAGTCTTTTTTAGAAGTTTCTTCATTGTCATAGAAAAACTTTTTAAGGCTTCTTCCTAATTGTGATGTATTGTATTCTCCGTGTACGTATATACATGTGATGATAGGCTATCTGAAGAATGAGATTTCCAAATTATCTTAATTACTTGGATGTCAGTGGTTATAAATAAAGGCTGAGTCACCGAGAATTATCTTAGATTTTAGGAGAATAGTAATGGATACAGTAAGTAACCGTACAGAAAAAATTACTTTTTCAAATTTATATTTGTGGTTACTGTTTTTTAAAAAAATGCTAACTTTACTCAATCTATGTTATTATTATTTTTTGGAACTTTTCAGGTACTAAATCAGAAGTACTGAATATAGATAACCCAGACTTAGCTAAATATCCACTGTTTTCCAAGGCAAGATGGTATGAATGTTCCCTTAAAGCTGGAGATGTATTATTCATTCCTGGTAAGAGTTCTAGACCTCAGTAATTTGCTGTTTATAACATCTGTGCTCTGTCATTCATCCACTGTGATTTGCAAAAGTATATTTTTTATATGTATCCTGTCCTATACAAGATGATTTTTATACACAAAATGTCTATGTGTATTTAAAGTATGCTTAGGTAAATTCTTATAAAATTAAGTCTTGTTTTTCAAAGACAACCTATAAAATAATACTATACTCTTAATTTATTTTATTAAAAGATATTAAGCAAGATACTTTATACTGAGAAAAGATTGTTCCTGGTGGTTGTTTTAAAATCTTTTTATTTTTAAAATTTACACATTTTAGAACTATGTCACTGAAGTATTTACCAAGAAATAGTAAATAATTTCAGAGCCAACACAGATTAGAGACTTTATTAAATATCAAAATGTTGTAATCTCATCATCTGTGATGTCTTTTGTATGCATTATTTTTCTGTAGTCTGAATTAGTGTCACTTAATTTCTTTAAACGGTAAATAGGCATTAGTAGTTGTTAGTAACCAGTGATGTTAACATCTATAATTATGTAAACTGAATACCTGATTATAAAAATCATAATTAAGATTAAAGAGATTCATTAACAAATTCTATGTCTATAATTGTATTTTCTGTATCTAAGTTAATATGTTTACAATCATTGATAGCTCTTTTTTGTGATTAAGTTTAAAAAGTATTAATAAAAATATGATGATCTCATTGGGGCTAGATTATAAATTCTTTGAGGACAAGGAACCATGTCTTGTTAAATCATTGTGTTCCCCAAAGGGCCTGATAAAATGTCCTTCCCATAGTTATGTGTAAAAATTTGATACATTGACTTCTTTTATTCATTGAAAACAACTAGCATACTATTTTTTTAAATCCATTGCCATTACTTGCATTTTGGTGTTTTGTATCTTGAGAGGATGTTAAGGGCTATATGGTTTTCCCTTATTCTGTACACAACTTTAAAAAAGGAAAACAAAACAAAACCAGAAATACTGAACATTTATTTGCATGTATTTTGGAAAAAAAGTGTAAGTCCCATCTTTGGATTTAAATTTAACAGAATGGTTAGCTTTGTTTCTGTTATTTTGAATAAGTAAAAAAATATTTTGAAAGAAAAAGTAGTTAGATTAAAACCATGTTTGAAAACTAGTTTGCAAATCAAAATATTTTAAGCTTTTGTTTTTCCTAGAGCCCTCTTAGAATGAGTTTGTTTCTAAAATTTGGCATGTTGTACATCTTCCCTTCTCCCTTTCATAAGATTAGACCTTTCTTGATGTGACTGGTATTTCATCTTTACGTGGCATTGCTTTAGTATTCCTTTAGCACCTATATTTTGAAAATGTTTAGGGCTGAATTGAAAACAAAGAAGTAAACTTTCTAGTGGAAGTAAAATATTAATTAGCTATGTGATAAAAGTTTACTCATCCTCTCCACCACCAAAATATTTGCTTTAGTTTTATATACTCATTGTAAAGGAGCTGAAAAAATATAGTGATTATGATTGCATTAGAAGGATAAAACTGAGGAGGTTACAATGAATGCAAATTTAAGCAAGTTAGGAAACCATCTGCAGCTTGAACAGGAAGTCTTTGAGAATAAAAGTACTGTACTGAGTCAGAAAAGGTCAAAGATACTCAAATAATTGAAATGTTCTGTGTGTAAAAAATAAATACTTTTGATGTGGTTGTGTGACTCAGGAAGTGTAAACAAGTAACACAAAACACAGCCCCAAATTACAGAACTATAAAACAAATATAACTTTATTATGCCTTTCAAGTTAAAAGGAAAAATTGCTACTTCCAAAGGTTTTAAATGTAGAGTTATGCTATTGACACTTTAAATTGGTTGGCAATTCATAAAAGTTAAAATGATTCTGTTAAAAGCTGGGAGTGTGCTAACGAAGGGATCTAGTTACAAGAATTATTTCTTGCATTGGCTATATGCAATTCGTGATATTTCACTGACATTTTGGTTTTTTTTTTTTAAATCTAGCTTTTATTTTTAACTTGTTTTTTTTAAAAATTTCTCCAGCTTTATGGTTCCATAATGTAATTTCTGAAGAGTTTGGAGTGGGAGTGAATGTCTTCTGGAAGCACCTTCCATCTGAATGCTATGATAAAACAGATACCTATGGAAACAAAGATCCCACAGCAGCATCAAGAGCTGCACAAATTTTGGACAGAGCCTTAAAAACCCTGGCTGAATTACCAGAGGAATATAGGGACTTTTATGCCCGGCGAATGGTCTTGCACATTCAAGACAAAGCCTACAGCAAAAACTTTGAATAAATAATGAAGTGACTGCAATGAACATAAACTTTTAAATACAGTTCAGCTCAAATATTGGAAAAGTATAATAAGATATAAATTATTTTTTAAAGATTTATTCTTTGTTGAAATAGGAAAGATAAATCAATCTCAAGACTTATAGATTAAATAAGTATGAAGGCCTGTTTGTTTGGTACCTACTTAATACAGACTGTTTTGAATGAAAGAACGCTGAGTGGGACCATTCTTTTGCTTTTAGATGCAAATAACTGAAAATCTAACTTTAAATGACCTAAACAATAAGAAAATGTGTTGAATCATTATACATGAAGTCTACTGATAAAAAGGGCTCCAGTATTTCTGTTCCAGTGATTCTGTAGCATCACCAAGAACCTCTGGTTTTTTCCTCCCGTTTTCAACCACAGCATTGGCTTCATCTTAGCGCTGGCTGCCCTCCTGGTCATGGGATGGTTGCCAGTAGCAGTTGGGGCCCTGTTCATCTTCATTTACATGCAGTGAGGAGTCAGGCAGGATGCCAGGGGCCCTCTCTTAATATGCAAAAGCTTTCCCAAGATTTGCCACCAGATGCTTGGGTCTCATTGATCTAAAGGGGTTTAGACCTGTCCATCCTTGACCCAGTCACTGGTAGAGGATATGGGTAACCCCTAGGTCATTTGGGTCTGCTGGAGCTGAAAGTAGGATCTGCTTCCTCTGAGACACATGAGGTGTATATATATATATACATGGGGCAGAATGGATAGTTTTTAAAATCAGAATTCTGATAAGCAAAAAATGTGGGCAAGCACAGTCTCTACTACATTAATCTTTTGAGCTTTTTATAACATGCAGATGCCTAGGCCTCACCTTTGTGGACACTGTATGTTTGTTTAGAGTTTGTCATAGGAATCATTTACTAGATCTTATAGATTGTTCTGATACATAATCAGGATTGAGAACAACTGGATTACATGATAGTACTATGGACTATTAGTTTTGTGTTTTGTCCAAAACAAATGTTTACTCTTATTCTGGTCTTTCTTGGTATCCTGTGTAAGTCAGGCCTGCCCCTTTTTTCAGTTTTTGAATGTCAGAAAATATTCACATCGGTTTTCATTTATACCTACAGTTAAACTTTAACCTAATTCAAGTTTTCCCCACTAAATGTATTCCACTGTCCTTTTTTAAATTAATTTTTTTTTAAGAACGAATACATGAGAGATCCCAGTAATGTTGTCATCATTGAAGACAATAAGCCATTGTCTATGGATCTGTGCCATTCTTTGTTTTGCACCTAGTAATTATATTGCAGTGTCACTGAAGAAAGACCAAATATATTTACTGAATATAAATGTGCCCATCTAAAGCATCTGAGTACGTCAATTTAGTGCATTTTAATTACAGAGAAAATTTTCTCTATTAAAAAAGAATTCATCCACTCATACTCTGTGTTTGGAGTTGGATTAATTTCAGATATAAAAAGCAAATTACAACAAATAAGAAAGGAAAAGTATATATATAAAATTGTTCTCAACTTCCTTGGTATCTCTGGGAAGAGAGATTGAAGTTAGGGTAACAGAAGTTAGGTCTGTCAGAAAAAGAATTGGTTTATTAGCCAGATCTAATTATTAGATTTTGATATTTAATTATTTCTTAGGTTAACCAAAAACTTCTTTAATGATTCCTTTTCCTTAGGCAAGAAAAAGAAAAAAAAAAAACCCTGTTAGTTTGAACAATATTTATAGTCAGCTCTTTAATAAGCCCCCTTTTTTTAAACAGTTAAGAGAATCCATGCAAAATACACATGTACAGAGTCATGTAGAAAACTAGGAAGTAAAACAGATTACAATTTGACTAATGAATATTCATTTTAATTCAGTTTATTTGGAAAATAAACTGGATGACTTTAGGCAAGTTAAATGAACTTAATCTTTAAGCTTATTTTTCTCATCTTTAAAACTTGTACTTTATAGGTTGCTACAAAAATAAATAAGATAGTTCAACGGCAGGCACATACTTGATGGCTGGTGCTAGCTTCCATTTAATTCCTCCTTTGCTGAGAGATTTAAGGTAGTTCCTGTTGCAATATTAAATTTTTATTTCTGGGGAGGAGGGTAATAGCTCAGTGATAGAGCATGTGCTTAGCATGCATGAGGTCTTGGGTTCAATCCTAGTACCTCCATTAAAAATAAAAAATACATATCTAATATCTGGAAAATGAGATGAAACCTTTGGGAAGTTTTAAAATTATTTTCCTGATCCTAATTTTTAATGTTCAGGTCTTTTATTTTAAGTGCAAAATACTTCCATCTTTTTTGCCTGCCTGGTTAAGACCAAGTGAGATGTGTTTTTCATGTATCAAATATTACACAATATGTGTTAGCTGCAACTTCTCAGGAATTCCAAATCTTAGAATTTTATTGCTGAAAGGGATCTCAGAAATCATGTAATCAATCCAGATTGCTTAAATGATTGTCCAGGCTCACACAGATGGGTGATAGAAACTGGAATTACAGTTGTGACCAGATTAGTAATTCTCCATTCTTTCTCCCTTAAGTGTAGCTCATCTCAAATACTTATGAATATATCATATAGTTATTCTTTGGCTATAGTTAGGGCACAAAGGATTTTTTTTTTTTTTGCTAGCAAAACTTCTCACTGTGCTGCTTGCTACATAAAGGATAAAAGTTAAGACTAATGAACTGATGAACTAATGAACAGGTAAACAGCAAAGTGTAATATAAAAATGGAATACTATAGTCAATGAATGAGACAGGTGTAGGTATGTACTGGCAAGGTATTTCCCCAAGGTAATTAAGTGAGAAAAAGGTTTGAAACTATGGGTGCAGTAATGATGCCATCCATTTGTGTTAAAGGTATACTTAAGTAAACACCTACCTGTATATGCACAGAATTATCTCTGCAAGGATACAGAAGAAACCAGTGATAGTGATCGCCTCCGAGGTTAGACAAGTAGGTGGGCAGACTGGAATCTGCAGTTAAGTATTTGAATTTTTTTCTTTTTCTTGATATATATTCAAAATATTAAAAGTACATGTTTAGACTAATTACTGTCTTCTCACAAACATTAACAGTATTTGCCATGGTACATAATTACATTGGAATTCTTTTTATTCAGTGGTTTCAAACTTTTCACTTCGATGAATTATCAAAACAAGGGAAACAAAATCAATATGGCTTATTTTCTCTCTTTCCATCCTTTTGAACAGCAGCTATGTGAACATTTGGAAAGAACCTTAGTAATAAGGCTTTTCTTACCTATCTAGAGTTGCCAACACACATGGAACTGAATCTAAGAAGTTGACCAAAAAAAAAAAAAAAAGGTAGGAAGCAGGAAAGCACATCTGAATGGAGTTGGACCTGTGCTGCTGTGCCTCCTTCCGGCAGTGCTCAAAAACAGATGTGATCAGGAGGAATTCACATAGGCTGGCAGTCACCCACCTATCTCTGGTGTTACCCTACAGTCTTGTTTCAAGCATACAGGCCACTGGTGTTTGTTTGGGTGTCTTACATACACCTAAGTTATATTCTGTTTTTTCAAGTTCCATTAAATGGGATACTAAAATGACCATCCTAAGTGACTGCCTGTCTCTACCGCCAAGAGCTGCTTGGCCTCTCTGCCTATAAAGAGCAACGTTAATTTGCAGAGAAGGTCTATCTACATGTAGATCTTATCCTCTAAAGCGTTTATCTCTTAAATGAAGTATAACAGAATAGCTCTTTTGAGAATTCTTTTGAGAAAGAATAATACCTTTTGTTTCATATTTTACTGCTGAAGTCAGTCTATTACACATTCCCATACTCACATGCTGGGACTGTTTTGTCTGTATTGTATCTCCAGTGCCTAGACCGTCCTTGCCCCTGGTAGGGCTTAGATATTACTGCATGAATAAAACCAGAAATAGATCACATTATACTCTAATCAAGTCTCTTGATGACAGCTAAAGGAATGCAGATACTGGGATGATTAGCACAGAAAAGGAAGAACTTACTTATTTTTGAGAGATTTTGTTCTTTAGGAAACCCACCAGAAGGAAATAATGCTAAATTTTGTGGAACAATTTAAAGGAGAGAAGAGATGTATTTTTACAGGAAAGGTTCAAAGTTGCTCGTATGAAAAAACACAGAGGTTACTGAAAACATACGCAAACCCAAACTGGCAAAATGGAAACGGCTTCCTTCCAAATAATGAGCTGAAGTTTTAACAAATCTAATAACATACATTACATCCAAACAGACTTCTGTGGATTAAATTTAATACAATTATACATTCATGCTGTGGCAGTAACAACTGTCACATTATTTGTATGACTACTTTTCTCAGTTGACTCTTTCATGACACAGATAAAAAGGCACAATCCAAAAGGATGCACTAACATTTATAATAGTTCTAAACAAATGTGGAGAAAGAACAAATTTTAAGTATTAAAATATTTGAATGACGATCAACCTGAATATATTTTCATTCAAGAAAATATTTCTACTTTTCAACAGTCTCATTTTGACGGACAGTTCCAGGTGTTTAGTGAATTATTCTTAATATCCATTTAACATACAACAATTACAATTAAGCATTCACAAGACTAGAGAGCTCCAAGGACTAGATTTTTAAATATCTCAGATTTTTAAATGAACTCTTTTGGCAAAAAGCCACAGTTTTTCCATTTTAGTTAATCCTGTAAAAATAAATGCCTTTTCTTCTCCTCTCATTAAAGCATTCAGTAACTTAGCTATTTTACATTAGATACACATAAATTTAACCAAGGATTATTAAACACATTGAAAAAAGCCACCCAATCAATCATGGTGCTTTAAGACAAGGTAATAAATAAAATGCTAGAATTAGGCTGACTTATTTCCTTGTTGGGAATTTGGTCTCAAAAGAAACAGCAGGTATTTAAACTGAAGCAATATAAAACTGTACTTCATCCTTTAAAAAAAAATTAAAAGATAACTATTCTGTAGTTCACAGAATTAAAGGATGTTATTTTTAAGCATTTGGTAAGTAAAATTCCTTTCTCATAAGTCTGAATATTTGGAATGTATTTATAGAGTCATTAAAATATAATTCTGGGAAGAAACCAAGAAATTAACATTTTAATTATTTTATAATTTTAGGCCCTCTGGGTTATTAAGATATTAAGATTCAGTCTTTTTTTTTTTTTCAGTCTGAAAGCAGCATGTTACTTCTCTGCTTAGTTATTTCATGACCTGAAAAAGCTAATTATTAATAAACAATTTTTTAAAATGACTGCTCACCTTTTACTGTAATCACACAAAGTTTCAATGTTGGTTGACATTCATTAGATCTTGGTTTTTCAAAATGTATTTATCTAGGTCAAGAAAAATGGGCAGAAGGAAACCTCACCCAAATTATGTAGCAGTGTTAAGCAAATTCAGTTTTTGAGCCAAAATTAAATCATTTGTGTCTTCAAACTTTCCCTTTTAATTTTTCTTATAGCAATACAATTTTGCATTTTGGCCAAAGAGAGCTGCTTTCATTTGGCAGACAAACTCATGCTTCAGGAGAAACACTGACTTAGACCTACAGAATCTGTCTCCTTTTCAATACAGCACTATCAAATAGAGTATTATTAATATTTCACCTAAGTTGATTTCTTTTAAAAGGCTGATATGATGAAATGATTTTAAATCTGTACTATATTTTTACCCAATATACATAATTATGTTCAATTTAAAACAATTTTCCAAAATAACTTTTTTTGCCAAAATTCAAGAAACTCCAAAATGTCTTATCCAAAAATTGTCAATTAAAAATTAAGCCATGGTGCTTAAGTGCAATATTTTTTTAAAGCCAACTTTACACTACTGCATGTTCTTAGATATTTAGAAACAAATACATTTTGACTTGCAAGAGAAGACTTGGTGGCACATTAAAGAATAACTCCATGAGTTTATAAACATAAGAGGCAGGGTAGAGTTATTGCAAAACGATGGAAAATATCAGTGTGCCTTCGCTTTGAAGAAAAATAGTGTTTCTACTCAAAAGTTTTGAGTGCCAAAACAGCTAATTACTGTTAGAGTATCACCAAAATTAGTTTTAAACATTACTCAGAAAATAAACTAGTTCCAACAATAACAATCTTAATCGCCTTTTATAAGGATTGTATCATAACTATAATTCTTAAGGATCTTGTATCTCCTCGTAGGATTATCACAAACCACCTTTTAGATTTCAAATGAACTAATTCTAACCCAGTCCAAATTAAAAACTATTCGCATTCACAAGCAAGGAATACTATTGCACATTACACTCATATTTTAGGAATGTGTGCTTCCTTCCCCCAACCCCCCATCAAAAAAACCCTGTCAATGCATCTATGAATTACATCTCATCCGCATTTATAACACTCAAAAAGTGCTTCTGCTCCTCCACTGAACAAGTACATTAATAACACTGTAGTCTCAAAATACTTCATGAACCCTGAAGTGATTCTCTATGGAAGGAGCTTCGTTGGCAAAATGAATTTGGCTAGTCACCTGCATACCAAAATCTCCAAGTATCTGAACAAATTTCTTGTGCTCCTTTCCAATCCAAGATCTCATTGGGTCACGTACTTGATAAGGTGTTACATGGGTATGAACAATTATCCCTGTTTGTGCAAATTCTTTCAAGACTTCTGGATGAGTAACCCAAGTATTGCTTCCTCCAGAATGACCGCCATCCAGCCAGTACATTGTTTTTATGCTTTTGATAAAAGTATCTATGTTCTTCTCTTTCTTGGCTTCTTTCAATTCAAAAAGCAACTGATTCAAAACAACACAACCTTTACTGAATCCAATCAAAGTGAAAGAAGCACCGTTTAGTGATGGTGGATAAAAGCTCATCGCAGACTCATCAAATTTTTCACAGGTCCTCTCTTTTTCTCCCTGGCAACCATTAGTAGTATGAGAAGAACTGGATCTACAATTAGATGCTTTGGAGTCCTTATTCAAATCTTTCATATTCTTCTTTGATAGCAAGCTCTTCTGACTTAAGTTAAAAGCATTAACTAATAACATATAAAGGTGCTTAAAAGCTCCAAAGTCAGTACTGTGTTCTGGAGCACCAAACATATTGCTTTTTACAAAATTGTCATAGCAGCTGAATTTGTGCAAATGCATTCGGGAACACTTTATCACCCAAATATAACTATTGGGGAACCGATGGGCTAAAATGGTGGCAACATTTTCTAGACTCCAATTTTCCCACTGGTAATTCTCAGGATGACGAGTCATAATTTCATGGTAATTCTGAAAGGTAAGAAAGATGAAACAAACATTAAATACACATTTATATAAAATTATTTCCAAAAAATTAGTTTCCCATTTTTATTGGAGGAGGTTATAATGACCTATAGCTAATGTACTACACATGAAAACTATAAATCTATTACTTTCTGGTTATAAGATTTTAAACAAGTCACTTCTTCAGTTTATGCCTCAAATCCATCAAAAGACAGGGTTATAACATATAGCTAAACAGCATAGTAGAAATTTTAAAAAGAAAACTTAGAAAGATTATAAATATTTTAATAGATTTTATCTAGTATACATATGATCTTTATTATTCCTAACACATTAACTGAAAATTACAATTTGGTTTATTAGGCAGACTTTGACCAAAGCAGAATTTTAAATTATTTTCCTATTAAAGCTGCAATCCTGAACTCCTCCCTCTCTAGATTACTCCAGCAACCTGAATGCTATGTTTGATTTCAATTTTGGTATTAGAAAGCAGCAGTGAACATTACAGAAAAATCTTTCATACATCTGTGATTACATCCTTAAAAATAAATTCCTAGATGTGGAAAAAGTAGCTCAAAGAATATTTATAACTTAAGGTTGATTATATAGACTACAATACTATCTTCCAGAGAAGTATGTATAATTTTTTCTTTTATCTTTGTTAAATTTCACTGTCACAGGATAACTTACTCTAATTTGAATTTATTAAAAATTTAAATGAAGTTGAAATTTTATTCATATATTTATTAACCATCTGGATTTCTACTTGTGCCTGTTCATATCTTTCGACTTCTTAAATTCAGATCTTATTTATAAGTGTTCTACATATATTAATAACTTTTTGTTTAGGTTCTAGGGCCCGCATATAAATTTTGTTTTCCTTTTAATTTTTATTCATAATAGCTTTTTTTAAAAAAGGAAAATTCACTCAAATTTATTCATTTATTCTATAAAATTTACTGGATACCAACAGACTGGTCATGGATCAGGACAGACAAAACCCTGCCCACGTGGAGCACACATTCTAGTACAGAAATGCACAATAAACAACTGCATAAGTAAACAGAGCAGCACTGTCCGACAGAAATACAACATGAGCCACACATAAAATTTTCTAGCAGCAACATTAAGAGAAGTAAAAAGTTAACAGGTGAAATTATGTTTAATAATATATTTTTTGAGCCCAATATATCCAATATATTATCACTTCAACATGTAACCAATGTAAAAAATACTGAGACTATTACATTTCTTTTTCTTACTAAGTCTTTGAAATCCAGTGTATATTTTACACTTATAACACATTTCAGTTTGGGTGCTAAATTGTCATCGGAAATACTGATCTGAATTTAGATTTCATAAAATTTACAGTTGCAAAAGTAGATTCACATACCCTAGTTGTTCAAATACACTTAAAAGTTTTCCAGGAACCAGACTGAGTATCAGTTTTTAAATCTAAACTTAAATACAATTAAAAATTTAGTTCATTGATTAGACTAAGGCTATTACCCAAGGCCAATCTACAGAAAAGGTCAAAGGATGTGGGAAGAAAGGTTTTCTTTTGAGAGATTTTTCATCCAAGCTGGGAATGCAATGCACTTACTCTCCCTGTAGGGGTTACAGGGTAGGAGGCACGCTTCTCATCCCCAGTGAGGCAGGTGGCAAGAGAACCTCCTGGAGAGATTGAGAGGTGCTTACTCCACAGGTAGATGCTCGCTGATCTGCAGAAACTTAATGAGGCCTATCCCATATTGCCACTGAAGTAAAGGCACAAAGGATGTTTAGAAAAACTTGACATGTGTCTCCAAGAGTTTGGAGATATTTATGATAAAGAGGTGACCTAGGTGGACTACTCTTACAGCAGAGCGAGGAGAGGTATATGGGATATAAGCTATAAGTTCCCTAAAAAATGTGTCAAGGGGCATCTTTGCTGAGCATAAAGTAGACATTCCATGTGAACAAGCTAGAAGGACTGTAACAGGAACTAGCCTAAGAAGGCTACCTGACACAGCACAGGAAGCCCCAGGCTACGTGACCAGATGTGAAATAATAGAATATGTGTGTGTGTGTGTGTGTATATACGTGTGTGTGTCTGCCCCTGGTTCCTGGCACAGAGCTCCTAAAACCCTGGAATTTCCTGGCTGATAGGGGCTGGTCACCAGAAAGACCAGGACATGATTAGAATTTCAGAACTTTCAACACCACTCCCCATTCTCCAGAGAGAAACTGGAAATGAAGTTAATGACTGATCATACTAATGCAATGAAGCCTCCATAAAAATCCCCAAAGTACAGGTTCAGACAGCTTGAAGTTGGTGAACATGTGCAAGTGCTAGGAGAGCAGCGTACTCAGAGAGGCATGGTAGCTCTGCACCTCTTCCCACATAGCCTGCCCTGTGCATCTCTTCCATCCAGATGTTCATCTGTATCTTTTATCCTATCCTTTCATAATAAATGGGTAAACAGTATGTAAAATGTTTCCCAAAGTTCTGTGAGCCATTCTAGCAAATTAACTAAACCCAAGGAGGGTACTGTGTGAATCTCAGTTTATAGCTGGTCAGTCAGCAGTACAGGTGATGACCTGGGACTTACAATGGGCATCCATTTGCCTGAGCTCCAGGTAGACAGTGTCAGAACTGAACTGAATTATAGGACAGATGGTGTTGTAGAGAATTACTTGGTGTGGGGGAAAAAACCCACACATCTGTTGTCAGAGTGTTCTGAGTGTGGTACGGTGTGAGTAGTAAAGGAGAGACACACAGGAGAACTTAGTCTTTTCCTACCCACCAGGACATACACTTGGGACATGATCATCTACATATCCCAGTGTTTAGGAAAGCAAAAGCTTTTAAAGGTTAAAACCGGAAATGACCCAAATGTTCACGAACTACTGAATGGGTAAGTAAACTGTATATCCATACATGGAAAACTACTTGGCATTGAAGAATGAACTCCTGATGAAGGCAACACTGAGAATGAATTTCAAAAGCATTAGACTAGGCCAAATAGCTAGACACAAGACTACATACTGTATGATTCCTAACTAATGAAAATCTAAAAGAGGCAAAACTATAGTGAAGGAAAACAGATCAGTGGTTGCCTATGGCTGAGAAAGGATACTGACGGAAGTAGGGCACAAGGGTGCTTTTTAGGGTGGTAGATATGTTGTATTACGTAATTGCTGTTATGGTTACATAATCGTACTTGTCAAAATTTATCAATTGTAAGTTTATGCTTTAAAAAAAAAGAGATAAGTATAATTCTATATCCTGAGGATTTAAAAAGCAAGGTAACTCAAAAAAATTCGGAAGTGTGTACTTAAAAAAATTCTGATCTCCCTCCAAAATCATTACTGATAAGAAAAACATAAAAGGGTACCTAAAGAAATGTGAGTTACTATGGCCTCAGCTTTCCTGTAATTCACATCACAAAAGGACAAGCACAGAATAAAACAGGACATACAGCAAAAGATGACTGCAAAAGGAACATCAAGAAAGTAAGGGTAATTAGGATTTAAAATTTCATGGACAACCAGATACAATTAACACCAAATAATAAATCTGTGTTAAGATGAGGCAAAGCTGCTAACAGTACCTTACAAAGTTCTGTTTGGTCCTCCCTATTCTGTTCAATATTTACCCAATTTTTTAAAAAAAATTACCCAAATTAAAAATAAAGACACAGAAAGAATGCTCACTTTACCTATATACGATACAAACCAAAATAAGGGTTCTAAAAGGAGCAACACAGTAAAAAGAGGAGCCACATCTAACAGGGCAATTTCATAAGGATAAACATTCGGCTCAAAAGAACCATGTGCAAAGACAAGGAAATCTGAGCCTAAAAGCATTTCATATAATAATTATAAAGCACTTAACACACTGTTCAAAGCAACTTACATATATTCATTCATTCAACAAGTTATCTACTGAGCACCTCCTTCGTGCCAGTCACTAAGCATCACAGATGTAACAGTGAAGAGAACAGACAAGAAGCTGTCATCGTACTAGTGGAAGACAGACAAAAACCGAAATGAGTAACTAATACAGTAAATGAAATGAATTAAAATAAAGAAGTTGACAGGGATCCTGTGCACATGTATGACTATTAAATAGAATGGTCAGAAAAGGCCTCATTGTTAAGGCAATTTTTGAGCAAAGACTTGAAATAGGTGAAGTAATGAATCCTTACAGATATCTGCAGGAAAATTGTTCCAGGCGGTATGTGCAAGGCTTTTGAGGTCAAGCGTCCCTACCATGAACAATATGAAGCTGGTGCGGCTGGAGCAGAGTAAAACAGAAAAGGGAGACGGTCAGAAAAGGAACAGGGTGGGAAAAGGAAAAGATACTGAAGTGCCTTGTAGGCCATCAAGAGGACTCTTGGCTTTTGTGTGGGGTGACTTAGGAGCTACCGGAGAGTTTTGAACAGAGGTGTGGTATGATTTGACTTAGATTTTTAAATGATTATTCTGATCACTTCTAGATACATTTAGAAGGTAAAGCCACTTTATTTGCTATAGTGTATTAAGAGAAGACAAAAGGGTAACTTCAACATTTCTAACTTCAACTAAATAGGAAGAGCTTCCTTTACCTAAGGAAAAGCAAGTTTAGGGGTAATGATCCAGAGAGTTTAGGTTTGAGATATCTATTAAATGTCCAAAAGGAAATATCGCATATGCAATTGGTAAGCCTAAAAGTTCCAGGAATATGTCTAGGATAGAACACAAATGTTGAAGGTTGTCACAGTATCAGGTAGTATGTAAAGGCAAAGACTGAAAGAGATCATGAAGGGAGTAAAGGTAGTCAGAGGAAAAATCCAAGGACAGTACACCCCAATAATTAAAAAGGTCATCAGAAAGATAAAAAGGAATGTAACTCATTGGGTATTCACATTTTTAATCCTCACTGATATCGTATACATTGTTATTCCCATTTTGTAGTTGAGGCAGCTACAATACAGAGAGATTTAACAACTGGCTAGAGACTTCATAGCTTAAAAAGTGCAGAATCAGGGTTTAAACTAGGCAATCTGGCCTCAGAGCCTCTGATGCATTATCCTCTACTTCTTCTCTAAAAGACCTGGGTTTTTAGAGCACGTCATACTCTGCATAAATCAACAGTATATCACTGTCCAAAAAGCTAATGGAATCTCAGGCTAAAGAAACAGATGATGTCAAAAGGAAAGGAGGTATTACTCCAACTCTATATTTAGCACTTTTTAGACTTCATCTGAAGACTTTTGTTACATTCTGACTGGCACACTTTAAAAACACTTAGTAGGTGTTCAGTGAAGGTTAGTTATCATTAGTATCATCATCATCATTACAGATGCACATAGTAGCTGTTCCATAAAACTCGAGAAATTGCTGCCAGCAATGTCATGCTGTTTTCTCAAACTGGGCAAAAGGGTATCACTGGAGTAAATTAAAGTTTTTTTCTTAAATCTAAATATTAGTTTTTTCACATTTTTTTTATTAGCAGTATACTAGACCAGTCAATCATTTGGAGGGGAAGAGAAAAAACTACATATACCTTCACTGTCATGTGACTTGGGACACAAAGTTTGTAAATCTACTATTTTAGAGCATTAATTTCAAAAACAATAAACTAATATTGTTTCCCATATCTCGCCATATTCTATCTTTACTTGTCTACACCCAAGCACTACCCAAGAGAACTTTCTGCCACAATGGAAATGTTCTGTGAAAGTGCTCTGTATTTGCACTGTCCAAATCTTGGCACATACAAACCTTAGGTGTTACTGAGCCCTGGAAATGCAGCTAGTGCGACTGAAGAACAGGATTTTTAATTTTACTTAATTTTAATTAATTTAAATAGCCACATCTAGCTAACAGCTACCTTATTAGACAACGTAGTTCTAGATTAAGATCTAGATTAAGACCCAGCTTTCCAGGACAACATATCCTCGGATATTTGCTTGCAGACACAAAATCAGTAACAGATAAAATCACACACAGAAACAAAAGTACAGAATTTAGGTGAACATCAAAATATTGACATGCTTGGTAATTACTGTCCTTTTTCTTCCACCCATTCTCCCTTTCTTAGGGTTACTGAGAGTGTCACACCCTTGTACTAATTTTTCTGTTTACTTGTTTGCTTTTTACTAACTGCCTGCGTTTTTTTGAATACTGCATACTAAGTTAATTTAAAAATCATCTCTCAGTCTCCTGCCCCCCCCTCCTCTGAGAAACCAAGTTATAAAGTAAATATTCATATATCTTAAGTTCCACTCCCTCGTAGCCTGGACTGACAGGGGTCTCTTCTGAGGTCATAGCCCTCCAAGGACACCTTCCCTCTGGGGCTCTATGAGGAGGGGGTCAGGGGCGTGGAAGGGGCGGTTTCAGATTTCGTGAAGCCACCACGGTTAGCGCATGAGTGGGTGTGTTCAGGCGAGCCAAGGAACCGAGCACCAGCTATGAGGGAAGAATCTAGAGAATTTACATATGCATAAGAGGAAGGAACAGGTGCCCAGGCAGGCCGCAGGTTACCTGCACATCCCCGGGAAAATAGAGAACGTGATGCTGGGGCGGCGGTTGCGGCTCCTCCTTCGCCGGGTCCCCAGAGAGGTCCCGCCGTTCCGGTCCCTCCCCGGCAGCCGCTGCCGCCGCCGCCAGCAGGAGCAACTCGTTGCAGCGCTGCGGGTCGGCTCCCGGAACCGTGGACAGCTGCAGGCACTGCTGCCGGCGCCCCTCGGCCGCGGCGGAGCAGAGCGCACCGCTGCTGCTGCTGCTGCTGCTGCTGCTGCTGCTGCCGCCCAGGTTCATGGTTCCGGCCTGAGAGCGGGACGCCGCGATTCCGATTCCGAGCTGGGGCAGCAGGAGAAGCAGCTGCGGCGACCGCAGGAACCTGAACCCCCACATGGGTCGCCGCCGCCAGAGCGGTTCGAGGGGTGGGGGAGGTCCTGAGGGAGGAACTTCGGCCGGGCGCCCAACGGTCGGCGGGAGCGGCCCAGGAGGAAGCCGGCCCCGGGGGCAACGGCGGCGTCAGAGGCCGACGTCCCCGCGCAGCGTGCGTAAAGGAAGGGGTGTGCGCGAAATCCGACTCTGGTTCCCGGAGGGACGGGAGGGGGCGTGGCCCGAGGGAGGACGTTTGTGATTGGTGGGCTCTGCCGCGGCCGGGAGGTTCGAACGGAAGTCTGGGAAAGAGCCTGAGGCGGTGCAAAACCCGAGGGAATGAACCCAGGACCCCGAGCGAGAAGGGCTGCTGTTGTGACAGGCGCCGCATCAGGGGCTGACTGAAGGTCGCTGTCCCATAATACGATCAAGTTTTTAGTATACCATGCTGCCGCTTCGGTAGGCCCAACTTTCTGGTGAGGTTTTTCTAGTCCTTCGAGCCTTAAAAAGGACACAGCCCCAGTGACAGGATAATTATGTCCCATTAGAGAATTCTGTGGAAAGGCTTCTACATGCCCTGGATGAAGGGAATCTCCTTCTTCTCATACCCTCGACTTTTGTAAATACAGAAAGATTTCTAGGTTCATGGCAATTTATTTGGATAGGAAGTCTCAGCATATCAGATTGGTAGCTGGGCACACGGACTAGAACAAGAAAAATGCGGGCAAGGCGTTAATTGTTACACGTTTGCTGTCGTTGGTGCTTGCAGCCAATGGGATTTGCTATTTTAGAGTTTTCAAAAACCAGTTTGAACAGTAGGAAAGTCATAGGTCTCCAACAACCATCTGTGGCCAGTTGTGTATGAATAAGCTTAGGCTAAACGTATGCTAAAAACGGGAAAGGGAAGGGGAGTCCAGTATTTTGAACTTAAGTGCTTTTGAGGCAAGGCACTGTAAAGAAACTTGTGGGAGATAATGTTGATGAAAATTTAAAATATTACAACCAACACTTACTGAGGCATACTCTAGGTCAGGAGTTGAACTAGGCACTTTATATATGTTCTGAGTCTATATATGTGTGTGCTTAAAGCACATATACTGTTTTCTTTACTACACATGTCAAATATTAGTAAGTAGCCTTGAAGTAAGAACACAAATGAGCAAATAAAATGTAATTTTCTTATACACACTTACTTATATGCACTTAGTAACTTCATAGAGGTGTAATATGCTAGCCTACTCTGGGCTAAATTATTGAGTTCCATCTGACATTGTAATAGTGTAACCAATCAAAATTATTATTACTAAGTATATCGACTGCTTTCTAAAAATAACTGGTTAAAAATACAGAGGCTAATTATATAATAATAAATATGTAACCATGTTTTGGAAAACAGTCTTCATTCTATTTTGTGAATAACATACATGTTATTACTGTCTCTTGTTAGGAAGCGGATTACTGAAATGTAATCCCAAAGCCCAAACTGGTACATGTATTCCAAATGCAGCTTTTGATTTTTGTGACCTTTTAATTGAATCTGTCACTGTTGAAGGGAATGGGGAGGTCTTGTGTTTTAAAAAGAAAATTAATGTAGTAATCATTAAATACTCCAAACTTGTTTTAGTAGCTGTAAGACAATTGACATTTTTGAGAAATACAAATAAATATATAAAGGACAAATTAAAGAAACACACTGAAGTAAGCACAAGGTTTTTTTCCCCACAGTCAAGGATTTACAGAACCCTCGAGGAGCCACTTCCAGAGGAAGTAATTGCTCTCAATTCATCAGGTGAGGTATATCTTTAATGGTAATTCATTAACATTGTAATTCCTTCTCATAGGTCCCATTGATATTACTGTAATATCTGTTTTCTTTCTCCAACCCCTCTTTCTTTTTCCAGAAAGACCAATTTTGTAAATCACTACTGTTCACAGAAAGCCCAGCAGTTTCTCTTTTTATTCTGTCTGAGAGCTAGGCTTTTCTTCCTCACAAGAGGTTTTACATGTACAAAATTACTGTAACCTATTGTTTGAGTTTACCTCCTCCTTTATAATAGAGATCTTCATAAGGATTTTATTATGCTTACAGTGCCCAAAAGGCTACAGCTTACCTCTAGACTCTTTTTGTTTAGTTGTTTAATTTGCATTCTTTTTTTATTGAAGTTTAGTCAGTTTACAATGCTGTGTCAATTTCTGGTGTACAGCATAATGTTTCAGTCACCCATATACATACATATATTCACTTTCATATTCCTTTTCATTATAGGTTACCACAAGATATTGAATATAGCTCCATGTGCTATACAATATAAATGTGTTGTTCATCTATTTTATATATAGTAGTTAGTATTTGCAAATTTCAGGCTCCCAATTTATCCCTTCCTACTCCCTTTATTCCTTAATAACCGTAAGTTTGTTCTCTATGTGAGTCTGTTTCTGTTTTGCAAATAAGATCATTTGTATTTTTTTTTTTAGATTCCACATATAAGTGATATCATATGGTATTTTTCTTTCTCTTTCTGGCTTACTCCACTTAGAATGATGATCTCCAGTTCCATCTATGTTGCTGCAAATGGTATTATTCTTTTTATGGCTGAGTAGTATTCCATTATATAAACACACATACCACTTCTTATTTATCCATTCATCTGTGTATGGATATTTAGTGCTGCTGTGAACATTGGGGCTGCATGTGTCTTTTTGAATTATAGTTTTCTCCATATATATGCCCAGGAGTGAGATTACTAGATCATATGGTAATCTATTTTTAATTTTTTAAAGAACCCTTCATACTGTCCTCTGTAGTGGCTGCACCAATTTATATACCCACTAAT